GTCTCCAATATAATTATACACTGACGATGTAAAGATCTGGCGAGTAATAACTGGAGACACAAACGCATGTGTTCTTCAGGCAGACTTACATATGATTAGCTGGTCTAAAGAGTCACTGATGCTTATCAACGCGGCAAAGTGTGTTTACATGCACTTTGGGGATTCAAACGTTAATAGGTAAAACATAGGAGAAGTGCCATTACCCATGGTACGGTCTCATAAGGATCTAGGGGTGACAGTGAGTCATGATCTTAAGACGACGGTCCATTGCCGAGAGGTCACAGGGGTTTCGAACCCTCTAAGCTTTAAAACGAACATTCACTAAGTTAGATACTACCATGTTCACCACAGTATACATATCCTTAGTGAGAACTAAGCTTGAGAACTGCGTTCAGGCTGCAAGCCCCTGTTTGAAAATTGACTCGAATATCCTAGAAAAAACACAGAGGGCAGCTACCTGTGCAACTCCAGAACTCCGGGGTTTACCATACAAAGAGCGGCTTGAAAAACTGGATCTCTTTACTCTGTCCTGTCGCAGATTAAGGAGAGATCTAATTTTGATGTACAGAATACTGAGAAATGATTTTGGACCTAACTTATTCTCTTTTTCTCCCCACTAGATTGGGACATCTCAGAGGACATAGCAGGCGAGTAGAAAAGCCAAGAACGAACAAACTACCCGTGGCATACAGGTTCTCACACCGAGTCATCAATACTTAGAACCTGCTGCCCGAAGCAGTGGTGTTCGCACCTTCAATCGACCCTTTCAAGAAAAGACCAGACACTGACAGAAGCATACTAGAAAAGGAACAACATAGGCCGTAGGCCTTCTGTCCTAATTACACAAATCTGAATCTGACTTCAGTTGTAATGTGACCTTTAAAATGGAAAGATTCGTCCAATATTTCGCTTGAAAGACATGATAATAGCAATTAAGTGTCTAAATCTATTAAGCTACATGTAAACACTTAATTAAATGTTCAAGTCAGACAATCTACATAAAATTTTGAAATGGTCTCGTAACTCACCAGAGCGTTTACTTCTATATCACTACCTGTAACAATTATTGGATCATTAACTGCTAAGTCCCTATAAAAAGTGAAGTTTCGTGTTTTTTACTTACCTTGGGAGTTGAAGAGCAGAGACATTTACTAACTTAGAGGCAATGCTTTTCCGCAGTAATGTCATGTTCCACTCAGCTGGAATTTCTTCGGACGTTTGTTTACTATTTTTCGTGGACAGGAACTGGGAAATAATTATAAAACAATACTTTACCCTAAGAGTGGGAACTCCTTGTACTTTGAAACGATAACATAAATCCATATTAGTTTCATCTTCACAATCCACAGATCCGAGATGAAGTGCCCAATTCCAATCTTCAAATAATCAGTAAAGTCACCTTGAGAAGAATGAATATTGAGTTACTTTTTACAGAGCGGCAGAATTGGGAAAAAGGTTTAGAGTAGCTTATACAGTGTCCACAAGTCTTGCGATAGAAAATCACGAGCCAGATTCCCTCCGATGTTTTGTTGTCGAAATCTTCGGGATGCAGGACGGTAACACCTTCTATTTGGCTGTAGGCAAAACTGTGAACCGTTCGAAGAAGTATGTTCAAGATGAAAACAGTGACCAACATTACAGGCTTCAGAATCATATCAAAAAGTTATGAGTCAGACAGAAACACATCCACATTTCAAATCTGGCAACAATCGGCTTTTGAGGTCAACTGTTCCAATAATACTATAGTTCAAAATGACTGTGATGACGATTTACAAAAAGACTGAAAGTTCCCCTATTCGTCTAACTTAAATAAAAAAGTAACATTCAATAAGAAACAGGTAATATGGATTGAAAGAATACAAAGGGATTACTTTGAACATTTTCAAATTTACAACCTTAAAATACTAAATAATGGAGGTCTCCTAATGATAGTAAAGATGCTATGCATATTCTGAAATTGAGAGCAGCTTTTCCTGTAACACCATTTCAAGCAAAAGGATACGAGCCTAGTCAAATCAGAAACCAGCAATGAAGGATTTCGTAGATATATATGTCAGGTTATCGATATGTCGAGATACTTTTGATCTTCACTAGTAACGTCCACAGACTGTAGAATGGATTGGAGGAAAAGATTATGCAGTCCTCCTTCGATTCAATCAAAGCCAAAGCCTGAATGGCACTCAGGAATAATTTGGACGCTTTTGCCGTTTCTTTTTAGTGAGTATCAATCATTAATAGATCACTCACACTTTGAAAGTCTCAGTTTTCCATCACCTAGGTTCACAGTTATACATTACTGCTGTTTGATCATAATCAACCTTCTTTGATGTTCATTAAAGGTGTTATATCCGGTATTTTCGATAATGTTTTCGTTTATTTAGTGATTCAGTACTGTTTATCAGCATAACGTTTGCTGGAAACATCGATTCAATATTCTTAGGTACTCTGGTAAAAAGTCATGTCCTTTTATGCAGCATCCACTCACTAAATGAGAGGGAAAATGTTGGATAGTTCATTCATGTTTGTCGTCGAAAAGAAGATTCACTACAAGTCTAAAGACGCTTATTTTATTTTATCTATGTACGTCCACCCCTTTGACGACAGCAGTTGCTAGCATCCTAATTTGACGACGAATATCCATACGTGTATGTCATTATTTAAGCTAATGTCATACGGCATATTTCCTGGCAATTACACACGAATGTTTTGTATCCATATCTGACATTCCTTGGAATCGCTTTCTTTATGGTCATTATTGCAGATATACGTTTAGACTTGTGGATAATCACACTTCTGACAACAACAAGCAACTCAGGTTATCTTTATATTTGCTCCGGTGTTCTTTCAGCTCATTTTTCTATCCTTCCTTTTGTGTGTATCGCCCGGATTTCATTAGTCAATCACATCAAATTAAATTGGTCCAGATATGGTTTCGGGGATTTTGCAAAAAACGGTAGAGAAAAATCCCAATAAATGGACTCTGCGAATAACAGACCATTCACGGACCTCCCAATCAATGTTGGCCCACCAACAATTGAAGAAATTAGCATGGCCATCAGACAAATCAAGAGTGTCAAAGCAGCAGGACCAGACAACATTCTAGCAGAAGCACTAGAAGCAGACGTAGCGGCAACTGCAAGGATACTCCACATTCTCTTCAATAAGATTTGGGATGAGGAACAAGTACCAACAGACTGGAAAGAAGGACTTCTGATCAAAATATCAAAGAAAGGCGATCTCAGCAACTGGGATAACTACAGGGGCATCACTCTTCTCTCAATACCGGGAAAAGTCTTTAACAGGGTATTGTTAAACAGGATGAAGGACTGCGTAGACGCACAACTTCGTGACCAACAGGCAGGATTCCGTAAGGATAGATCGTGTACAGATCAAATCGCAACTCTACCGATCATTGTGGAACAATCAATTGAATGGAATTCATCACTCTACATCAACTTCATTGACTACGAAAAGGCATTTTATAGCGTGAACAGAACAACACTATGGAAGCTTCTTTGACACTACGGCCTACCTCAGAAGATAGTCAATATCATACAGAATCCATATGATGGATTACACTGCAAAATCGTGCATGGAGGACAATTGACAGACTCCTTCGAAATAAAGAACGGTGTTAGGCAAGGTTGCTTACTCTCACACTTTGTCTTTCTCCTGGTGATCGACTGGATAATGAAGACGTCAACATCTGAAGGGAAGCACGGGATACAATAGACATCTAGGATGCAGTTGGACGATCTAGACACCGCAGACGATCTGGCCCTTCTATCCCAAACGCAACAACAAATGCAGGAGAAGACAATCAGTGTAGCAGCAGCCTCAGCAGCAGTAGGTCTCAATATATACAAAGGCAAAAGCAGGATTCTCCGATACAACACAGAATGCACCAATCCAATCACAATTGACGGAGAAGATTTGGAAGATGTAAAAACCTTTACATATTTGGGCAGCATCATTGATGAACACGGTGGATGTGATGCAGATGTGAAGGTGCGGATCGACAAAGCAAGAATAGCATATCTATTGTTCATGAACATCTGTAACTCACAGCAACTGTCAACCAACACCAAGATCAGGATTTTCAATACAAATGTCAAGACAGTTCTACTGTGTGGAGCGGAAACCTGGAGAATTTAGAAAGCGATCATCCAGAAGGCATAAGTGTATATTTTCAGCTGTCTACACAAAATACTTCGGATCCGTTGGCCGGACACTATTAGCAACAACGTACTGTGGGAGAGAACAAACCAGATCAAAGCGGAGGAAGAAATCATGAAGAAGCGCTGGAAGTGGATAGGACACACATTGAGGAAAGCACCCAACTGCGTCACACGACAAGCCTTCACATGGAATCCTCAATGCCAAAAGAGGAGAGGAAGAGCAAAGAACACAGTACTCCAGCAGATAGAGAAAGACATGAGAAAAATGAACAAGAATTGGATGGAACTAGTAAAGAAGGCTTAGGACAGAGTGGGTTGGAGAATGCTGGTCGGCGGCCTATGCTCCACTGGGGATAACAGGCGTAAGTAAGTAAGTAAGCAACCATATGAAACACATAAACGAATAACGTCGAAAAGTTTTTAGTCAATTAGTTAACCAGCAAAATGTAACACGGCAAAGGAGTGAAAATTGTCAAAGAACAGAATAAGTTTATACCTACCAAACTAGGAAGGTTAATTGGTTGTCTAATGTTTGAATCACTCAGTCACATAAAATGAAGCAGCCAAGAAATTTCGTACAAATCTTGTGCTGCAAGACATCAGGTGGTTAGTCTGTAGGAAAAGAAACTTTACTAACGATCTTGATTTATAATAGAACCGTTGTAAGCTAATTTATTTCAGGTAATTCAAACTATGAGTTGCACGTGAAACAAAAAATATGGCTTCCTCTCAGTTTGAACGGTACTTAGAACAAAGTAAACACAGGAATTAAGAACCCCATGAATACGATAACCCACCAAGATAATTAAATAATGAGAAGAGTGAATAGTAGCGAATTCATCTAGGATCAACAAAAAACTTAATATACCGATACAAGAACTAATCACGATTTCTCGAGTGTAAAAATCATAGGTTCATCGTCATATAAGGTGTACACATGACAGATTTTGATGAATAAACAAGATCCACAACCCTGCACTGAAAGGTTAGTATTTATGATTTTATGAAGATGAGAAAATATTTTTACTATCTAAAAGACAAACTTGTATTATTAAATGTTCTTTGACGTTAAACGTATTTAAAGCATACTCTCACTAAATATCAAATGACAATTACTTTTGAAGGAAAATATTACATGGAGTTAAAACTAAAATAAAAAAGGCAAAATCATATTTTCTATAAAGTATGATTGTGTATTTCTGTTTGTTTGACAATAGCAGATTTCAAAAAGTATTGGCAAATTAACAACATACAAATTTGGATGTTATTTTATTGGCAGCACTATAGGACTTGTGATTTTCTCGCACATCAATTTGACATTTCAAGTGATTATCTGCAATTTATTATTTTTATTTCGAATATTCTTTCACCTGATTATTTCTGTGAATTGTATAAAACCTAAAAGAGCGATTACATGTAATTTTTATAGAATTAATTAAATCTCAAATCCTTATAACGTTTCAGTAAGCTAATAATACTTGTAATATACGTAGTTGTAGTGCGTACTACTCTAGGACATTCTGCTCTTTCGAAATTTCCTTTAACCATTTCGTAGTACTTCCCATCACTAAGAGTTAAAGACTTCAGTCGAGGACATTTGATTCTGAAACAAGAAAATACGAAGAAGGTCTGTATTAAATGTACAGATGATAAAATATCCTAGACGAACTTATGTAACAGTATCCAAGTTTCTCAAATTATAGAGGAAATGAATATTTTTACTTTACTTCTTATTAATAACCATAGGGTAATATTTTCGACAGTGCTTAATAATGTCAAATTGGATGGGAGTGTTGTCTTATTCGGGAATCGTCTGCTAGATATTTTCGGATCACAGTGATGATATTCGTAGTGAGAATTGAACCCAGAACCTATTGCTTCAATATGAAGAAGATTTTTCACTAAGCTTCTGAGTCATAATTGTTATATCAATCATTTAATAGGATGTGAAATTAATACTCTGAATTCTACTGCTAGACACTAGAAAATACGATTAACTTGTCAGTACAGGAAATATTCAAGTATCGTTTCATGGGATGAGTAACCCAACAGAGATTGAGGGTGATCCTGATTATTAATAGTACAAATACAAAAACATTACAAATAAAAATATTCACTTAAAAGATGTCCCCTAAAATTACTTCGGACATTTCTATCAATAATCCAAAATACTGATAACTGAATAACTGTAATCTCCATATGAAAGGGATCTTAGGTATTAACGTTTTAATGTTGTTAAACACAACATTATGAACGTCCTATTTGTGTACATGAACACTCAAAAACACTATTACACTTCATTGGCACGATAGTTATTGAAGCTTGAGAAAAATTTCGTCGGCCAAACTTTCATTCAAATACAATTCACTTCAAATAAGATATGCAAATCGATGGAAATGTCCTACATGTTTTTTATCAAACAAAATAAAACTGATTTAATTTCATTATTTTTCAGAGTTTTATGAAGATGAGAGCATTATCGAATAGTCTATGATGTAAACTTAGCACTGAAATTAAATTGCACCTTCTCATTTGTATGCTACATAGGAACTTCATAATCTAAAGAAAAATAATGATTATTGTTCAACTTCTTAAATATGAATTACTTTTAAATGTTGAAATTCTGACATAATTAATTGTTTATCTGTCATTCCAAATAAACAAATTACTTTATGGATATTTTTGTTAAAACAATGTATCACTAAAAAAAAAACTCACCTAATTCGATCAATGAATTTTCTACTTTTATCACTAAAACGAATAGTATCTGGATCCCATTGTATTTCTAATGCTTCTAAATTTGGACAATATCCGGCAAAACTTTCCAGAATTTTATCAATATGAACTCGTGTGTTGTATTTATAAAACCAACCATGTGATGCTCCAAGTACACAAACCCTGATCCAGTTCACAAAAAAAAGAGAATTTTAATTATTTTATATAAAATGATGTAATTTTAAACAAAAGTAGCCATTCACAAAATAGCGCGGTTGAGTAACATAGAAGATAGACTACTAAATAGAATAACTCATTAAATAAGACTGAAGAAAAAAATGTATTTTGTAGCAGTTGCTGAACATCTAAGGTAAAATGTTTTGTAACCGATTTTATACCCCCAAACATGTTATAGCAAAGCTTATAGTGTGAACAGTTTGTTTCTAGGTGTAAAATTATTCACAAGGTATTTTTGGTTGCCTTAAGCAATACGGAAAGACGAAGTTTATAGAGTAACTCACTCTTCACTTTTCTTTTGTTTAGAAACCTTCGTATTTTAAAATAAAGTTTAGTTTATCGTTCTTTTATTTTTACATGTTTCCTAATGATATGTGCAGCGATATTGTTAGTGATAGTATTTCGCTTAGAAATAATACTGCTTAAAAGTGCTTTATTCAATCCTTATATGTACCATGTTAGCTTTAGGGAAATAGGGCTTTAACAAAATATGAAGGCCTCTTACTTAACTACTGATTACTAATTTATAAGAAAGGAACAAATTATTAATGTGAACTTAGATGGCTCTCTGTAGGTGTTAAATATGCTCAAGTTATGGAGAAATACGTCCATGAAATATTTTATAACTGCATCATATCTTCTAAGAATTTGTAAAAATATATATTTACCCTAAACAGTTGTTAGAAAGGTTAAAATGATTGTCACTGTGGATGATCCCGTTATTTCTAAAAGCCTAATAATTTGACAAAATATATGAATTATCTTTTCGTTACTTTACGTTTTTCGCCAAGTATTATTTTACGATCGCCTTTTCTAATTTTATAGCTTTAAATTTGATTCATTTATATACCATCAGACAAGGTGATTTTACTTTGAACAAACACCTCTTGGAACTGTATTAGAAAAATCTGTATAACTACAATTCACTGACCGTTGTGAAATGTATGTTTATCTACGTAGAAAACAATCATCAAGTACACTTAGACATTTGGATGTCGATATCTTACTGGTTTAAAGAATAATAATCCTTGCTATTTTACTGATTAGAGTAGATCACAATTTATGTTTGATTGCATTAAATGAGCAAGGTCGTTTTAAAATAGTCTTATCAAAACTAAAACGATGTTTAAAAAAACAGAATTTTGTGATGCATCAGTCAGCTTATTGCTTACATTTATTACCTCTTTTCAGATTTTCTTGTACTCACATTGTTTATTACTTTAACAAGTTTCAATCGTCTATTTTTTCAACTTTATTCATCTTCTGAAATTTTACAACTATCTTCCAACGTCAGTGGTCATGTCTTTGCACACCAGACGTAGTTGACTCCTCCATTCAGAACTTTCTGTAAGACTTCTCAGAATCTATCTCAAACCTTTAAATACTAGTAGACATATAGTAGTTAATCTATGAAATATTTTGAAGGCTTCCTGTTCTGAATCAAAAGTCATCTGGTACTCCTTAGTTTTTAGCGATTTTTCTTCAATAAAAGCCTAAAGATTAAATTATCTTAAAAAACAATTTTCACAAACCACCCAAATAAATAAATATTGCAGAGTAATAAGGAATGAAATCCATACTTTATCGCACCAAGATATGGAATCACAGTAGTCCAAAAATATTCAGCTAAAGTAGCTTTTCCATGTAGCATAAGACCATGTAACTGATGACCATGAAGCTTAAGAAGATTTGTTATGGACTGTTCGTTAAGTGCCGGTGTATGACTCAAATCAATAGCTTTGACTTGCTTAAATTTACCACTGTCGCAAAGTGTATTCAATATCTAGAAAAACAAATAGTGTGATTAATAAATTGAAATTTGCAATTGTTAACTGGTTCATATATTACCAAAACATGAATTTGGCTACTTCAGACCTTTCGGGAGTTAAAAAAGCCGACAATATTTTTCAATGAAGGTTTCTAAATAATTATATTGTAGACAGTGTCGTTACAGGCTATTTTGAAATACAGGAAAAATGGAATATAAATGGGTAAAACATTCTTAGTTTTATGGATAGTTTGTTCCTGTATTCAATAAATTAAAAGCATTTAACTTCATTTTCTTCTGTATTTTTTGACTTTTTAAAATTATTATAAATAAACAGTTAAAGAGATAGCATTGAATTCTTACAAGTACGTCAGCTAACCGAAAGTACAATCACTAGCTAAGTGTGGTTTTTAGCACACTTCTTTAAGCTTTACCTGTACATAAAAAGACATTTTGAATTCAGTAAATGGTTAGTTGAAATAACCTGAAGTACAAACCTTTTTAGAATAATAAACTCTTTTGCTGTACAATATAAATTATTTTATTGCTTTAATTAAACTTGAAATGGATTGGATCATCCTGTTCTCCATATTTCGACTGAAACTTCATCTTAACTCCATGGTCGAGTGAATAATACGGATGCATTTGAAGCAAACGGTACTAGGTTCGAGTCCTTGAGTGAACAACAACTTGGATCCAAGTACATACAGATGATGAATATCAAGTAGAGCAAAACACCTCCTGGATTACATCGCTAGCCACATTCCATCTATCCTATTTCATTGTTTGTTGAAATTTTTGCTACGGTGGAGTTTAAAAATAAAATCAAATACATTTCAACCTTCTCATGATTGTAGTTATTGAGTAACTGGACTAGTAAATCAAAAGAACGTTCTGAATTCTAAAAATACAGTCATAAGTTGTCATATGTTTAGCAACGAGTAAATTAATATAATTTCGAAAAAATTATACATTACTTACATGATCAGTAAAAAAATCTGTATGACCTGCTGCCAAATAAGTAAAATATGGTATACGTGTTAAGAAGTTTTCAAGGCATTCAGCAGATAATTCTGTAGATGTTATATCAAGTTCACAGATTCCTGAATTTTCCCATGGTACATCCATCATAAATTCATCTTTGAGACCTTGTACAAATAAATCACAATTAGAATTATCAATAAACCAAATAATACAAGTATATAACACACATAACTGATGGAAAAAAAACTCACTAATGATACTATAAAAATTACATCATTCTAAAACCGTTTGTTGTATAAAAAAGAAGATATTCGTTCCTTAATAATCTTTCATATTAATAGTTCCAATAAAATTAGTACATTTTCATAATACGATCAATTGGGACAGATATAAATTAGTATCGTTTGAATGTTAAGATCAAAATCTTATTTGAAAACTCATTTTGTATGTAGGTAAATGTAAAGCCTAAAAAATTATTTAAATGTTCTCCATAGCCTCTCAATAAGTGAAATATCATTTCGTTTTGTTAAATAACTCATAAATGTTCCGATTTTGAGTGGCTTTTCTATCCCTACTCATTAGGTTTTTCATATGATCCATATTATCTAAGGTATTCGCTCAGGGTGCACATACTAAAACAGAGATTGATCACTTATAGATCTAGATAATAAAAACGTAGAATTACACAGATTTACCAATACCTTTGAAAACATTGAATATGCCAGTGACTCATTAGGGTAAATATTTAAATAGACAAGGTGATGGAGTTATGAGTAATATGTTCGAGTACCACTGTAGACATCAACATCAGAATCAATGTACATACTTCTAATAAGTCCCAGACAGGATAAAATGCGCGTTCTGGATACCACATACAATTTACTTCTAATTTAGCACATAAAGTAATTTGTTTGGGAACTCGCAAAGTTTTTTGATCACTTTTTATAGGATTCAATAATTTTCTATTTTAATTATAAACTTACGTATTCTAAATCTAAAAAAACGATTGTACATTTTCAGAAAATGATATCATTGATGAGAAAATTTCTTTAGTTGAATCGTCTTTATTTATTCTTCTGTGAGTCAGTGTGTTATTCTCAAATAAAATGAGACAAATTCACTTGATATTGTTTTCTTGTATCTTCCCATTGTTATTTAGGACTGCAATTGATCAGTCTCCGGTTAGCATATGTGCATCCTGTGTGGACTGCCTCGATATTGCCCTATAAAATATAAAATATGCAAAGATGGATAGTGTCTAGCAGTGGAATCTAGCACGCGCGTTTCATCTTGTTTGGGACTCATCAGTTGGATGTGCCTGCACCTCAGAGTACATCCAGACAGTACAGACAGTTTCAACAAATGATGAGTGAAAAGATTTTTCACAAGTATGATTCATTTTACTCCAGATAAGCTTTTTATTCAGATAACTTTTGAAATGATCAAGGCATGTTGCATCAAATGTTTACCTTCCAATTTCTACAATAAAACATGCTGTATTTAAATTGACAAAGTATACACATTTAAATAAGAATATAAACTACTATAGTAATGAATTGTTTTAAATAAAAACTTTAGAATGAAAAATTTCTCTCACCACAATGTTCTAGAAGTAGGGTTGTCAACTTTTTACAATTTGCGATCAATAATGTAAATGATGAACCCTTGACATTTAAACAAAAATTAAGCGCGACACATTCTAAATGAATACAATTACTGGCTAATAATTCCACATGACTATCTTCAATGAAGTTGATACCAAATAAATTGATAACACGTAAATTAGGTGTATGGGCCTTAATTTTACTTATATTGATGACCTGAGGAAGGAAAAGAAAAGAAGTGATAAATGTCTACTTGCAGTTTCCTCAGTCACTATTTTAATCCATAAGTTAGCGAAGGCACAGTGTAAATTTATCAAGCTATTGTAAATTTCCAATAACCTACATCCATTTTCTAAAAAATCACTAATACTCAACTGCTGTGATCTATCTTCACACTTTTAGACTGCTGCCACATATAACTGACATTTCTAAGGTGAGCACAGTACTGTATGATGGTATATAACTACAACTATGAGAACAACACAAATATTAATGAAGAGAAAATTAAATAGAATTGGTACTTTCCCAATTATACTGACCGTCATATTTATAGTGACAATTCAGAGTCGAATTTATCAGCTAGAAAACTAAACAGTGCTGAGTTTTATTATGGCAATCTTGAGTTCACAAAAATAGATTTTATATCATTAACTAAAGACATAATCTAACAAGAAATAATTTCCACTGTTTCCTAAGCTATATTAAACAATAATGAGGAAGAATATATTTGTAAAATCTCAGCGAATGAATTGGAAGTAAATCCAACGTTTTGCCTAGCAATCTGGTCCAAGTTTTTTCAAGGAAATAAATAGTATAACTAAATGTCGAACAAATTTTAACTTTTGAAATCAAGAGACGTAACAAGATACTCAATTTTTTACTTTATGTTTCATTATCCTTATTATCAAGAGTCTACCATGTACTCAATTTATTTTAACTTATCGATTCAAACCTTGGCGTTTCATATAGCCTTCTGAATTCGTACACCACGGTATTTGTGTAATAAAGGTTATCACGTTGGTTGATCTAAGAAGCCCAAGAAATTATTTCGAAGCTAAGCCACTAAAAATTAAACTCCTTCACGTATAAAACAACATGATACTGAACATCATTTTGTCATTTGCATTTGAAATTAACAATTATGTACTGAGAGAGATTTATATAAAACAGATTATTAGTTCAAATCACTTAAACATTGCAAGCTGGCTTGTACTAAATCATCAAAACAAAACTTAATTGAATGTGTGGAAGCTACTCTAAATTCTTGGTGGTGTTTTGTTCTCTGAGCTGTTCTCTGAGCTACAAATCTTCTCCACCATCTCTACTCTAAAGTCATATTGGCTATAATAATGTTTTTTCTAGAGTATACTTATAAGAGTAATAATTACGTTACATTGCTATTTACACAGTGATTCCTGGAATGGTTTATAAAAAGTTATGAAATTAAAGATTATTTTCAAATATTTAAAAGACTCCATAAAATGATGAATAGAGCAGTTGACAATTGCTTTAACCTTATGACAGATAAAAATATATATAAACATACATTTGATAGCTTTAATGTGTAATAAATAGACCTAGAAATAAAATGGGGAGAATAAAAACAATACGTAGTCACTGTTACTCACGTACTCAATATACACAGTATATTCTACGATTGCATTGCATTTTAATTTTAAAAAATACATCTACAATCTACATTGATTTACATAAAAACTTCTGCCTAAAATGTATATAGTTTGCACTCATATGTATCAACAGTGTCGACGTTTTTTATTGTCATTCATGTAATACATAGCTAGTTATGTCCATAACTAACAAATCAAATCGTTGCTTAAGCTCCCGTTACGTCAATCTGGTCTGATATGTCTGCAAACTATCCTTGTTGCATGTGATCTGTCAATTGAAAGATATTATTATCCTATTATATTAGTGTGAATCATAATTTTTATTCATTTCGATATGACACACAATACTGATCGGTATGTTTGTGCGTTTCATTTAATAACTATAATCCCTTTAGTTATTGTACTAATCAAATTGTTATTTTTATGTTTAGAAACAGATCAAGTTTAAAGCCAAGTTATCCTTCATCTGACCATAGCTTTCATATGGACTCTGGGGTCGCCAGTATCGCGTTTATAATTCTAGTAGAATATCTGTAAGACAAATTAAATCCTACAATAAATGAGTTTAAATTCTACAGTAATAAATAATTTCCATCCCTGAAAAAAGAATAATTCTCATTTTAAATTCCTAATTTTTCTTTACTATATTCTGTTTAAGATTTCTGATTAAGCTAAAAGCGATTGGTTAAAAATTGTGATGACCTCAAACATATAATCAAGCTACTGTTGCTAGAGCATTTGCTTTCAACTCCAAAAAATATACAACCTTACTTGACGACATACCCTTCGAAGATTCCCTTAATAACTAATAAAACTCGATTCATTTATGCAAACAATTTATTTAACTAGTATATATCCTTATTTATACTGTAAAATATCTTCTTTTTACCAACATGAGTTTCAAGGTCTCAAAATAAATAAAACTGTGCGTATTCACTGAATCCTAAATAATGTTGAATTTTCTGTCCTTTTTCTGAATAGATTGTCTATTTTTCTCTAAAAAAACATTTGCTTTGTTTGCTAGCTGATTATTTAGCACATAAGAGTGCGTAGATGTTTTATCCAAGATTGAAATTACTTAAATACACAGAAGAATTTTTTAGAAAAAAACCTACTCTCACAACTCACTTCATAAATTTCTTCTTCTTCCTCTGTGGCTAATTCAAATGTTCCTTTAAATAAATAAAAGAAACATTCTATGGTTAAGTTTTTTATTAAATTTCTTTATTTAATTACCTTAGATAAACAACTGGTCTTGTGATTTGTAAAATTGATGTTTTACTAGAGGTAAGTATTAATAAAATCACATTTCATGATAGATCATAATGAGCACCGAGTCAAACTTATTCCATGATTTATGTCAGTTCAACTCTGTATATCCAGTCTGTTGTGAACGAGAACACAGGTAAGGGATAAACAATGTACTTTAATACGAAGTTACAGAGTATCCTGGTAAAATATAAGAACCATGTATTGAATACTTCATTTGAAAATTTTCATAATTTGTCCTTCACATTCTGTATGATTCTTTCTATTCAAAATTCATCGCAATTTCATTTTATATCCTCTTCAACTTGATCTTATTTTGCCTTTCGCTGCCAGGGTTTCTACTTCTGATTGATGTTACATGCTACTTATGCCTGTTAATATAAGTAGCGTATAATACAATTCTACCATCCAATCAACTGTTTTCTTAGCTAACACTCACATTTAGCCAATATCTATGTATCAGGTAGAAATTTGAACAAATAGTTGTGATTTCTAGAATTTATCAAACACACACTATTTAACAAAATGGATTGTATTTTAGTATTCTGAAATTGAAATGCTTAAACAACATTTATTATAATTGTTTACTTATTTACAAGGAATAATACTTTAATTTCATATCTGTGTGATATTTAATGCATTGAATTTCTAAACCATATTTTATTTTAGGTTTCTTTCTGCATACTTCTTTTTATACAGTATACTTGCAGTTGGCTTTTATTCAAAAGTTTATTTATTATTTATTTATTTGAGCACATAAATATTGGTATATAGAGGCACTGAATATATATGCGTCACACAAGTCACTTGATTTGTGTATGGGCTGTAATATTGTCCGGGTGCCCAGGTCGTAGAAGGCGGTTTTCCTAAGGAACCACACCCGGAGCCATTGATCTAAAGGTCTGATCCACAATGTAGTGGAGCAATGTCAAGAGATGCGGTTCCATGGTAGCAGGTGACCAACAATAGGTTCATACACCATTTTTTCCCTCAGGATCATGAAGCCCATGTGCACCATTGGTTTGGAATTAGAGTTTTCCAACTCTTCTAAGTGAATCCTCCATATCCACCAACCCGATTATAGCGCCGAACATTCACTTTTCGTCCTCTCAACTTCGTAAACAACACTCCCGTCGCGAGAAAGCGGGGTACATTATCTTGATGACGTTTATGGCTCATTGTAGGCAACCATTAACTATTCAAACGTTTTCAATAGTGCAATATATATATATATATATATATATATATATATATATATATATATATATATATAGTTATGTTTACATGATATATTTCATTACTTTTTCAAATGAAATTGAATGATTATCCTTTCTAGTAAGGAGAATAACAATTTCAGAATTTCTATGATGTTAGTTAAGTAAACAAATGTAAAAAAATGGCATATTTATTACTATCACAACAACGTTTTTCTTTAATGAACCATATGACAGGATGAATATTTTGGAAAATAAACTAGAATCAGTTACATTTTTGTAAATGTTTAAACTTTCAGTAAATTTTGTTTATGGAAGTAAATTTTTTTCTTTTTCTTCTTTTTTCTTTTTTTTTTGATTTTCATGTCAATTTTGTAGATTGAACTTTTTGTTTTGTAAAATGGTCACTATTTAAAACTATGTATTACTTGTATATATAACATACTTTATTCAGTTGAATATAAAAACAATATGTACTTACTAAATTAGTTTCACTCAATAAATAGAAGACAACTAGCTTTTTAATGTAATACAGTGATTTCTACTAACTTAACCGTAATTTTATATTAGATTAATGATAGAATTGATGTTAGTAAAACTCAAACGTCTAAATATATTCAGAATAATGGAAAAAATTTCACTAAATCCTTTAACATGAATAGATGGTTTTAATTTAAAGTTGTAGTAAGATAAACACATGTTTTCAAACAAGTATAATTTTTTTTAATGTAAGGGCTTTGTGGAGACTGTTGAGCTTGATAGTTTACAATACAAAATGACCGTATATAAACAATCACTTAAAGCAGCAAGTACCAGACACTTGTTTCGTCCTAGTTTTAGACTACTGAGCAATGAGCACTCATGGCCTCAATGAAGATTTAAACAAGGGACTTCAAATCTTGCGGAGAGCGTATCTTGTATTTGATCCACTGCAGGACCGTAGATACTGATTAAGATGAAATAACTGCCAGTTGCTTTTCAGTGGCTGTCAACCTATATTTTATTAGTAAAACACTGTAGTCCGTCGTATGAATTGCGGATGATATTGACGATTTTCTCAGGTACTCCATAATTTCGAAGAAGTTTTCAGAATGTTCTCCTATCCACAATGTCAAACCACTTCTCATAAGCATTGAAGTTGATGTATAGTGACAAGTTCCTTTCAAATGATTACACAACGATGATCCGTAGTGTAGCAATTCGGTCTGTGAACGACCGATCGTTGCGGAATCCAGTCTGTTGATCTTGAAGTTGGGCGTCTACTGCCTCTTTCATCCGGTTGAGCAACACTCTGTTGAAAACGTTTTCTGGTACTGACAGTAGTGTCATTCCTCTGTAGTTATCACACTTGCTGAAATCGCCTTTCTTTGGTATCTTAATGACGTATTCTTCTTGAATTCGTTGAGTTTGTCAGTATCTCGAAGGAAAGCTGTACTAAACTTTTGTAATGTTGTTCCCCAACTGTCCATTGCCTCTTTAGCATCAGTTTCATCTTGGCAACCACAATCAGGTGGTGGTTAGAAGATATTTCAGCTCCTCTCCCCGTTCTTCCGTCTTCCATTGACCTTCTGAATTGTTTAGTGATACAAATATGACTGACCTGGTTTTCTGTAGTGTAATTCGGTGAAATCCATGTAGCTTTGTGCGGGAATATTGTGTCACCTATAACTAATTTATTGACTGCACATAGATTTGCAAATCTTTCGCCAGTCTCGCTTCTTTCTCCTTATCCATATCGTCCCATGATATCTTTATATCTAGTGTTGTTCATTCCGACTTTGGCGTTTAGGTCTCCCATCAGGATTGTCAGGTTCTTTCCTGGGCACTTCGATATGATCGATTGCAGCCTTTCATAGAACTGATCTTTATTGTCGTCGTTTTTATCATTAGTGGGTGCATAACATTGAATAACATTCATTGTAATTCCCTCCTTCTTTGTTTTGAAGGATACTCTGATGATTCTAGATCCATGAGATTCCCATCCTATGAGTGCTTTTTTTCAGCTTTATTCAATATTATATTTTTGGTACAATATAGAATTCTCAGCGTAAAGTATTTCAACAAGTTTCCGTTTCTTTCTTCTTGGTCGGTCCTGGCGATAAATATTGAGTGATCGCCAGTTAGATGTTAGCAGTTCACTAGATGAACATCTGAATAATGTGCATTCTTTCCGTTGTATATTGCCAGCAACCACATTGTCTCTTATTGAGTTTTTTGTAACTTTGACAACGGAAGGTTGTACACTTTTCAGAAACGCAGCAGAATAGGTTATGCGATTAATAAACATAGTAATATATTAAAACAAACAAAAATAGATAACTTGTTGAAATATCTAGATGGCAGGAACAGGTAGCCCAGATGATCAAGCAGGCCGCCCTTGCTTTACGTGCTTCTTCGGACAACATTAGACCAACTTTTTGTGTGGGTGGAGAATTTTCTTCTTCGTGATCAGAGTAAAGCATCATTTCTTTAGTACCTTCCCTTTTCTGTCCATCTTGAGTACAATAGGTTCCACCTATTCCGAGCATCGTCAAGTTGTATCTCTTCATTTCTGTAGCTATTTCGTCTGCCCTGTCAGTCTCCCACATTGTCCGGACGTTCCATGTACGTATAAAAATCATTGAAATGGCTGTTAGAAGGAGCATCGGCCTTAATACAATTAGAATCAATCCAAAGAATCTTTAGACTTTTACTGAAAGTGGTGAGTGAAATTGTCTTTGAAAAAAGTAGTCTTAAAACTACCAATGTTTGGTTTGTATTGTTGTTATTTAAGTAAGAAATAATTCAGACTTATATTTATGAAAATAAGTAACTTTAAAAGCCTGATAACTATTTTACTAAAACTCTCTATTGTCAATAGGAAGACACAATATTCATCTCATTTGGTTATACCCTACGTATTTATTGTTTATGTATATCACACGATCACGTCTTTAAAAGCTTTTCCATTGATAAAAGACTATAAGTATGAAGTATTGACTCTGACTGTTCGGATTAATCTTTTATTCTTGCATTTATGCAACATGTCTAAACAGAAATTAAAAATCTTAGTCACTATCATCTCTATTATTTTTTTATATCTACGACCTTGAATCGCACTTGGTGTGCAAAATTAGTGGTGTAACCTAGCTGCTGAAACCTGAGTCTGAGGATACGATTTCTTAGCTGACATACACGATTATTGAACATTAAATCACGAATCGATAAAAGAAACATGTTTCCATGTTTATTTATGAGCTATCAAAAAAAATTATGATAATGAATGTTTTAATTTTCGTTATATTCCGAAAAACATTCTAATTTTTGAATGAGCTCAACAAGAACTTACCAATTAAGTGCAAAATTTCAACCGCTGATAAACATGAATAGATTTTTCTCATTAAACCTTCCATAAATATCACATCACTTAAACAAATACATAAATATTTAATTGATGAAGGGAATGAAGCCAATTCGTTGAAATCATGTAGTTGCATAGCATTTGAAAAATCTAGAGTTAAATAGCGAAGATTTGGACATCGATTTCCAAGTTCCTCTAAAACTGGTATAGTGACTAGATCGCTGGATAATTCAATACACCTTAACCCACTTCCAGACCTATGATGAATGAGATTTAATAGCTCATCAATTGACCTTACCTGAAAAAATTAAAGTTTTAAACAAAATTATCGTGATAAGAATAGTGTGCCGCATATTAAAGGAACGATAATAATTTATACTAAAAAAAAGTTGATTATAGAGTTATGTTCATCAAGTGATCTTGATTTCGGTTAGCTGCATGAGGTAGACAATTATGATAAATACACAACTTTCAAGTATACATAAAGGTATTATTGGCTGCTCCGGGATTTCTCATTTAAACTGTAACTAGTTATAGTTATGTTATCACAAACCTACAAGCAAGCCAAAAGCACAAATTCGTGTTGTTCAGTAATTGATTGTTTTACAAACTTATTATTTGTGCTGCAGAGAATATGTCGTCAGCTAACAATGTTTATAACACTAGTTTTTTCTGTAAGAAGCTTGGTAATAATGAGCACTTTCATCATAATCTCTTTGGGCTTCCATCAAACATGAAACTCAGAAACTAGAACTTTACCTATCAGAAACTTACATTCACTTCATTAATGACTATGATATGTATATAGCTTTAACTTAATCCACAATTTTACCAAACATCCAGGAGATGAAAGACCTTATCAAGTCAAGTTTAAAGTTACACCTGGTGAGTGGACAAAACAAAAAAACTGGCTAAAATCATTCATACTTGAGTGAAAAGGCAACCCACTGGCTCTCATTACTGTCGTTTATGATACCTATCATTCACTCAATGATGATTAAGTTTGTGCTAAAATAATCCGATGAGCATAGATTGAAGTTGGAATAAAAATAATTTAAACGATTCCTTATAAATACCTTAGAAACATATTGTCTAAATAAATAATTTTCTTTTAACTACATTTAATCATTAGAATATTTTAGACTGTATTCGTTGCATATATTAGGATGAGTGAGAAATCTGAAGAAAATTCGTTTTCGTTTTAACTATGTTCAGATAACGTTAAAATGTAGTCGTTTTGTTTTTCAAACAATACCCGATGTAAACAAATGTTCGTTTTATTGGGCTACAAGATATATTATGTCAGTAAGAATTACCTTATTCGTTTGAATACCACCTAACAACATCTGTTGTTAAATATGTCTGTTAGCAGATTGTAATTGACTGTTCAAATCTCTTAATGTTGATAGAAAGTTATAAAATAACAGCTTTACACTATTTAATTATACATACTTTAGCGTATTCATCAAGTCCTTAACGTTGATATCAATAACTCCATATGTTAAAAATGAACTATTTTGATTTAGTCAGTGATTATCTAACAAACGCTACACTTTACAAGTGGTACATTTTACTATATTAATTAAAAGGTTAAAGAAATTACATTTATCGAAAATGTAATTAACTTGATAATTGTTGAAAGGAGTTAAATGTTACTGATCGTTTGATCTAGTATATCATTAGTCACTTGGAAATAACCTAATCAACGAAAGCTTTTTAGTTCAAGCTATTTTATTCTAACCTGAATGAATTTGATTGTGAAACGACAAAGCTAGAATTCATCCTAGTCCCTTTCAAATGATCTACCTTATTGTAAATTATCAATATCATATCATCATCAGTAAAATGCACTTTCTATTTATTTATATTTTAATTAAATAAATAATCTATAAAATATAATTTTGTTGACACAATTCATTAAAGTTTCGCCAATACACTTATCAGTACCTCTATTTCCCCACAAGCATCATCGTATGTACAATAGGAAATCATGCAGTTTTAATCAATGTTGCGCTGTATTGTTGTCATTACCGATTATATTATGTAAGATGATTTTTTTACTTATTCATAAAAATAAATATCATAACATTGCAGAAGACCTTTCTGTTGTTAAATTATCGGCAGGGAAAAGCAAAAGGCTTTCAAAAATTGAAAAACGTATAAATTCAGTCCATTTAACTAAGTCACTTCATCGTCACCTGATTTCATCAATTTGACATACAAAAATGCTTCAACACACAAGATTCTACAAGTATACAATAATTAACCAATCTCTATACATATTTCATTGCAGGTCACTTTTTATCTCATATGACTTAAAAGTATTCTAGTATAGCGAAAGTAAGTAACCATAATTATATATACTTTAGTTTGACTAGATAATTTGTCTAGATTATAATTTATGGACGACCTTCGAGCGACGCTGAAGTGGTCTTGAGAATGTTCACCAACTGACTAGGGCTAAATGAGGATTTTAAACCAATGTGGAGGATAAGCACTGTGATTTAAAGTTGATAATTAGTGTTACGAATTAGATTTAGGTTTTTCATCACGAACTGAAATCAGCTAAAATGCCGAAACTCAGTTTAGCCGAATGGATGAGTGAACTTCGCGTTAATATCCGGAACTTATCTCGTCAATAATTTCACTGGTTATTTGATTCATATTTATCATCGAAATCACTTTAAAAATTCACTCACAAATATTCCACCATATTCAGGTCGTAAATTAAGTGACTGCCACAGTGAATGATCATATGCTAACCGACGCCACATTTTGCAAACACGTGCAATATTACACAATTCTGGATGACTTAAATGCGAAAAAATTTGCAGCATGATTTTCTCAGGTAAACGTGTTATTAAAAACTGAAGAAAAAATAGAGAAAATAAGATTAATTTAATCAAATGAAGTACAATAAAGCAATTAACATTGTATGTTTTTTATGGAGTTTTGTCCTCTGAGCTGGGTGGTTTGGTCGTGGAGTTTACATCGTTCTTCTGAACGACATCATCAGCACAAATTTCAGGTAGAAATTTTCTTCCATGACCAAACCATCCAGCTCAGAGAACAAAACTCCATCAAAATCATTCGCCTGAGCTACAAATCTTCTTCACCATCTCTTAACATTGTATGTAATAGACTCGTATAAACTATATTAATGTTTGTACAATAATTATTTATGTTGTCACCTATTCTTGCCCATCCATTGGGATTCAATCGTTGAATTAATTTTACCTCAATCTTATTGATTGCCTATACAATCATTTATTTTTTTATCGTGATTACTAGTAATTGCGTCCTTCTTATACTTATTTTTATATGATAAGATATTACACTATAATTTATATGTCCTTGTTCTGATAGTTTTTCTTACAGTTTACATTATTCATCACAATTTTATTAGCTAAAGAATGTAAAATGTTTGCTATTTATAATTCTAGGTAACTAGTAATTGATGACTGCAGCCCTGAAATAAGGTAGCATTATTTTATTCTTGTTACCTTTTTATTATTCATTTGTATAAACACTATGAATAGAACCAGGTACATAAAACCTAAACGTTTTCTAATGCCTTGACATTAAGAAACAATTAAATGGAAGACGATTGCAAGATATTGTGGGTTGGTTGAAGTCAAACATTAACAAGAGCTCAGTGGTTTGGAGGTCAAGCATTCGCGCGCGAGACCGATGGCCTCGATTTCGAGTCCTGTATGGATGACCGTATATGTACACTGCTCAGGAGTCGCATATTAGAACGGAATAGCCGTCTAGTTCTCCCAGGTTTTCAATGGTGGTCTAACATTGATCGATTCATGATGTTAATTTAAATGAAAGATTTATTTTTTAAATTATCATTTAGAACCAAACATCAGATTCAGTATTTTTTTTACATTTTACAATAGTTTGTCAGGTAACTTAAATTTTGAGTAAACCATTCAAAATAAAATATTTTTATATGTAAACTTCAAGATTTTATTTCAACATTAATCTAACAAAAATGAAATGGCACGTTATCTGTTGTGGTTAGAGTTCAGTTTATTAAACCATCAGTATTTGTTAGTTCATCTGTTCACTAATGCTAAATACATTAGTTATATAATAGAGAATAGTTTAAAAAACAATACATTACTTGTTTAAAAGCTTAACAACGAGTCGATAAGATTTGTTATAATAAAATACTGTCGTCAACACTTGTCTCTAATTTGTAATTAATTTATTTCTAATATAACGAAATAGAAAACGCTTTTCTTTTCAAAAAAATAACCAACAGGAAAGTAGATATCATTACCAAGATTTGACTTGAGAATTTTGATTAACTTGAGTATTGGGTAGATTGTTTTAAATTAGTCAATATATTTGTAATATTCTGATAAGTAGAAAAAAATAGATTTTCTGACGTTTCGTGACTCAGTGTAAACCACTTCTTCAGAGAATAAATAACCAAATCAAAATTAATCCCAGTCTAAATAGTACCGTTTAAACTTGGAATAATTTTGATTTGGTTATTTATTCTCTGAAGAAGTGGTTTACACTGAGTCACGAAACGTCAGAAAATTTAATTTTTCCTACTCATTTTGATATTACAAATATATTAATTAATTTACAACGAGGAAATAACTTGATGTTAAGTATATTTCAATAGTTTAAGTTGACTATAAACATTAAAACAATGATCATCATAAATTTTCATAATAAAAAAATAATATTCGAAAATTTACAGAACTGAATTAACTGCCAAATAAAGAAGCTCATTGAAATGATCTCAAGGCTAATAGATAAAAACAAATAGATTTATCATCAACTGACTTCTTTTAATGCTAACCTATTAAGAATGAAATTTTGAACAGTTAATCACAAGATTTATGGTACATACTTTTAATCGATACATATATTCCTTATTATCTTCAAATGTTCCAAGTTGAATTAGGCATAATTCAAAGAAAAAACCGTCAGAAAACTACACAATCAAGCTGAGGAGCGAAATTTCAGACTTTTGATACTCAAACAATTACTCGACTTTTTACCAGTATTTTATCCAAGTTCAATTATTAGTCCTTTTTCATAAAGAAGAAATAGTTCTAACCGTCACATAGTAGATTAGCTTATAAAGTGAATAATAATTTAGATAAAACAATTAGAAGGCTTTGTTATTCTGAAAAATGTGATGTATTTGTGCCATAGAATGACTTAAAGATTACCAACCTTGAATTTACCTTGATAATCCTTAAGTCATTCTATGGCCTATGATAACGCTACAATTTCTAATACTTTTATATGGTGTAAAATTGTTTCTCTTCCCTTTTGTTCCTTTTTTCTTGAACTTTTATTTAGTTGACCTTTATTAATTTTCATATAGAATATCCTGACAAGTATATGTGTGATCAGATTGTTGGAAATGTATCACGTAAGTACATCACAGTTTTGTAGATCAACTCCATCTTCTCATTCTTTGTTCTATTAAAATATATAAAATGGACTAATTGCTTTAAATAATAATTTAAATAAATTTTAAAATAAGCCAATTATAAAATCAATTTTTTTAATCAGTTCAAACAACAATAAAAAATTATGACATACATCTTCATTAAATACTGATGTTCTACGAAAATTCGATGCTCTTCTCAAATCTCTCACTACATCCATAATTGATTTGGAAGTCATTATTTTTGAAAAAAAAAATTGTATATTATTTAAAATAAATAGAATAAATCCACGGTATTGTAATTTGTAATGCACAATTGTGTTAATTTATGATAAATAATATTTTAAAAAGATAGGGAAATTTTATTCATTTCATATGAATCACTGATTGGTTCAAATTTACACAATTATTCTAGTCTGGATTGTTCAATTTTCAACTAATCAATATATACATGTATATGTGCACAAAAATGTTGTTCATCTTCATGTTTATCGTTAGGCAAAAATATCATAAGGAAATTATCATTATTGTTACTATTATTATTAAAACCAGTTTATTGGCCTCGTAAGGATCCTATTGATTTTTTTCTTCTACTTCTTCTTCTTCTTCTTCTTCAATTTACATATGAAAATTGAAAATGTCTTGACTAACTATAACAAATCTTTATTAACTAAGTGTATGTTGACAACTAGTAATCAAAGAAACTTTTAAATGGTAACAAAAATGAAACATTTTTAATGTGTTTTCTGTTTACCTGTCAGATATGGAGCATTATGGAGTGTTTGTGTTCAGTGTTATTTTGTTTTATGTCATGTAATTTCTAGTGTTGATAATTCTAGGTACCGTTAAATGTATTATATAAATATGATACTTAAATATAAATAATTAAATTAGTACTACTGATTTAAATTCATGTTTAGTAATATGAATGTTTCTCAACCATAAATTACAGAAACTTAGGAATCATCATCAAACTAATTAATTAATATATCAATCTAGGTACTGGGAAAAGATTTAAATTTTAAACACCAGTGCTTTTCTTTGAAATCGAGGTTCAGTTAAGAAAATCTATAACTGAATATTGAATAAATACAGAAGTTTTACTGAATCTATTTCTGTCATTTAGTGAAAGAACAGAGTCAAACTTTCAGCTACAAATCCTTTCTACCATATATGCATGAAATTAAACAATATGTCAGTAAACAGTTACAAACATTATTAAAAAATGAGTGAATTCAAGAGATTGTGTTTTTATCCCAGTCACTAGACGAACTGACTGAATAATTATTTACAAAATGGGTAGGTGCTAGGTTTGAAGTCGTTACGAGTTCACTTCATCTGAGAATGGAACAAGGACTTGGTGACCAAAGACCGATAAGCTAGCTATTCGATGCATTCCAGCCCCGCTAACTGGAGGAAGAAGTCAAAGCTTGAAATGGGGAAGTATATTCCACAAAAGCCAAAAGCACGAGCGATAACAACAGACCCAAATCAAAACGTATATATACAAGACAAAACCATCCTTGGGGAGAGTTACAAAATAGCATACTAAAAGACACAACAGACCAATAGCATTTAAGATTCTCCCTATTGGGAAATACGACATGAAGGTGAAAAGAGCGCTTTTGGTACGTAAACAAAGAAATTAAAATCCTCTAAATAAAATCACAAAATTAGGTCCTTTTCCGAGTGAGTTCTGGGGATCTAACGTCCCCAACAGTAGGATATTGTGAAGAATCTAGGGTTAGCGCGCTACGTGTAGAAATATTCGGAATAATGAAGTCTAGTTAAGTACCTAAGACATGATGTGCCTAATCAAGACTAACTCATTCAAATACTATAAATTTGGATGACAAAATACATCTGGATTCTACCTAAAAACACTATTGAACAAAACTTCTGATTAGCATTTTGTTTCACTTAATCGTGTGGCAATAAGGCCATTCTGTTGTATCATCTTGCGCAAATTATCAGTTCGTCTAGGGACTATTCACACTCCTAATCTTAAAGTTAGAATGACACAAGGCAAATGTTTTAAGTTCTCATCGATTAATGCAATATTTCACCAAATATATTGATTACAGCCACTTTTATTCCTTTTATTTAGACTTACTTCCATTTTCACCATACCTTTTGTTTAATCCTAGAACGATTTATAACTTCATTAATACAATCCTATCAGATTAATGTGTGTTCAGCGTTAAAAAATCAAAAATTTTCGTTAAGATATTATCACGTAAATTTTTTTCCTAGGAACAGGATTGAAGTATAACCTGACTCATAAATGATTAATAAAATTGACATACACATATATTAAATTACTGTATCAAAAGTATTGGTGGGCGGACTTTGAATATGTGTGTATTACAAGGAATGTTTCTAAAGTCTAGTAGTCCCCAAGTTAAACACTATGTTTATTGTTCTTCTCCAGTCTATATGTACGAAATTAAACATCAAAAATTCACAGTCATATAATATCCCCTTGAGAGCCAGGGTAATTATACATTGATTTTCAGGAGAACCGGACACCATCCAGAATTTCATGTGACAACCCAAACAGTACAGCTTAATCCCGTTTAACAGGAGAGCCAGACACTACCCGGGCTTAAAATTGTAGCCCAAATCGTATGATCCGATCCCGTTTCACAAAAGAACTATATAGGCTTTAACGCTACAGTCTGAATAGTACAGCTCAATCCTGTGGCGCAACCACACAGGTACCAAGCACCCTGGTGGACTATTCGAAACATTAATATACACATCCATATCACATGTACAATTAGTCCGATCATGATGGCCGAGCGGTTCAAAACGCTGCATTCATGTAGCAGTCCACTCTGTGGACGTGGGTTCGAATACCACTCCTGACATTACAAACATCAAAAATGATCATAATTATACCTTATAAGACGTAATTCCATAGGCAGTGTCAGATATTTGTAGATATGATTGATTTCTAAATAGAATTTCTAAGTAATCCAAGTGTTAATTAAGTGATCACCTAATATAGACATTTATACGTGGTGCATTAAATGTATTTGTGGTACAAGTATTACCTTAGTTCTAATAAAGATACAAACATATTTCTCAGGAAATCGGTTGTCCTTAAACTAGCAAAATATGTTAAGCAGTTGCGTCAACAGGATAAAAAAGACACACCATTAAAGTTGATACTATATTGAGTTTCTATAAACAGATACATTTTGTAAAATTGTTTAATGTTCCTCATACATAACTTGCTTATGCTTGGATATTTAATATTTTACTACCGTTGAATTTCTTCTCTGTAAGTATAATGATAAACAAGTTGAACAACATTTCATCATATAAATTATTTCATTTACGATGAAAACATCTTTAACACCTAAAAGAAATCGACGTTGTATTTAAAGAGCAACAAAACAACTGGATGCCTAGCAATAAACAAGATTAGTTTGACAGGTTTTTTCCGTAATATAAAATTGAAACAGAAGAATGCACAGATTTTGTCTTTGATATCTTATTAGCTTATCCATTATTTTTTACATTAGTGACCAATGATGTACTGATTATTGTGTGTTTATTAATTTAACTGCTTCTGTGAAGCTAGCTAAACAAGCCATGCTAAAAGAATCTCATCCTTACGTCCTCACAACTGCATGTCTTCGTGTTTAGGAAAACTGTAAAAGAAATTTATAAATACCTTCATTCTTCTGTCTACATAGTAACAGTAATTAAGATCGGCCTAAAGAAACCAGATTTATCTGTACAAAAAGCTGTATTCAACCTCTATGTTCACCATATAGTCGTTCCGTTTTTTATGCCATTAATGTTATCAGTGCACATATTAAACTTTCACTCCTGATCTTTAAGCCATTTTATAGCCTAGAGTAGTGTGACAAGTTCCTATTTTTTTCTATATTATGTTGAATTTTTCCTTTCTTTAGTTACAATTATCATTTATTGTTTATTTAAACTCTTATCTATCTTACTCTTATCAGTTTTATATAAATGGCCTTGACAAGTATATATGTGGCCGGATTGTTCGAAATGTATTGCGCAAATACATCACATTTTTCAGAGCAACTCCATCTCTCATTATTCTGTCAAACGGGTATTAATTCTACTTTTACGCACATCTTCAACAACCCTCTCCTACGACATACTCTTATTGAATATTCATCTTTTTTACTTTATATAGCATCATTATTGACGTTTCTTGTTATTATTACTACTATTAATGTAAGCATTAAGATCACAACAACCACGTCATAGCATCCCATAACCACTTATCTTTTTGCATGTAGTTTTAACCTTTTGATTAGATTTCACAATTTTCCTTTTTCTTGCTTCTTATGTAACGGATTAACTTTGCTGATAACAAACTTTGCTATTCACCTCACAATCGACATCAAATCTAATATTTTTAATTCATAACACAGACTAATTCAACCATTACCTTTAGATGTATATCCTAAACATCATGTCTAAAGTAAAATAACTTTTATGAATTTATAACTGTTGGTGATGAATAATAAGCTGCTGTAAATAAATACTCCCTCAAACATTCTTTAAAGTATCCTCAAGTGAATAGCATCCAGATATATATGTGTAGGTATTCCCGTGACTGGTCATTTTTATAGTTAAACATATTAATCATGCAATGTTACTTGCTTGAATTTGTTAAGGCGAACAATAAAATAATTACCAAACTGTGAGACAATAAACAAATCTCGTTACTAACAAATATCCTTTCAGAACGTTTTGAGTTCATATGTAAAGGATACATAAGCTCATTGTGTAATAATATATATGAATAAATGTAAGGCTTATTTACCTTTCTTAAATGATATTTCTGTTGTTAGCTAGGTTTACGTAACAATCTTTGATAAATATTGAATGTCGTAGCCTGTTTCACCAACGTTTATTTTTAAAAATATCTGAAGACTATCTTTCATAAAAACGGCTACCCAGTCAACTTCATCAAAAATTAGCTGTCGAATGCCATGACATATCCTCGCTTATATCAATTTATGTGGACAGCTTTGGACAC